AAAAAAAGAAACACACACTCTTATCCTGTATTTCACTAGGCAAATGGGATAAATAAAGTTGGCAAGCCAAAAGCTCCTACTAGTATGCTGACAGGCCTTGTTATGGCAGACATGAATTGGTTCTGCTCTCACTCCAAGGAAAAGGTTTACTCTCAGTGGACACAAGGACATGAAGCTGTATTTGCATGACACAGAGTCAAATCTAATATTTTTAGCACCTCACCATAGAAACACAGTCACAGTAAGCCCATGTCAGGCATGGACTCCATATAATTTACTGGGAGGTGGGAATAACTTTTTCTTTACTGGCCAAATCACTTTCATATCATAGCATGCAAGTACATCATTCTTGGAGTGAATGTATCACACCGGTTTGTGTGTGTGCCCCCCACAAAAAATGCAGGTACCAGTGACAAAACCTGCTTTTGGAAATTAAATTGAGTCCCCCCCCTAAATCTTTAGCTAAGGTGTAAGCAATCATTTGCACAGTGAAGTTTATGCTGTTCTAGTAAAGCAAAGTGCCCCAGCCTATTTATACCTGGTTACCTGAGGGTTTTAAAACAGCATTATATAATCAGAAAATATTTACATTGAATTTTCATAGTAGATTCTACTAAAACACACAGTACTCCTTTGACCATTGCAGCACCAGAACTGCTATAGGACAACGAGTTGGATTCTCCTCAACTGCTAAAAAATAATACAATATTTATTAAGTTCCAGTTACATCTATGTAAATTTATTGAATATAACAGCATTGCAAAGGAAGCAATCTAGATTAATAGGTTGGTACAGTTTAAACTGAGGACTTAATTTTTGGTCAGTAGGGCCCTTCCAAACATACAGGAAAAGAGTTCCACTTTCCTTTAAGATCCCACACTCAACCATTTGGCTTGGCATTTAGAAGAAGTACTTCAAATTTGAGAACATTTCACTCTTGAAGTAATTTGGAGACAAAATACAGTACGGAAAATATGTTCTACAGGTGGGACTGCAGACTACTTTTAAAAGTATAGTCTGCAGTAAAGATGAATTGTATGTCATTTATCAACAAAATAGTTTAACTGCAATTCACCATTAAACTGGGAGAAATGGAGAGAAGTACAGGAGCCCATGTAAAAGAGTACAGGAGCTCACATAAATCTATTTAAAGGACTTCATCTCAGGTCTCTGTAAACTAACCACCAAAGCAGATTTGAAAACATGACAATAAAAACTATTTTAGCCAAATAAAAAGTTGAAAAATAAGCCCAGTTTATTCTCTTGGCTGTACCCCCTGGACACTCTTGAAAACAATTTTTCTAATACGTAAGAAGGAAAATACTTTTTCTTTTAATAGGAGTCTGAAGGTAACATGTTTTCTACGTTTTTATAAGCTTTTTCACATGGCAACATTGCAGCAAACATATGTCTGCCATCTTTTTCAGCCCAAGTAAGACTGAAATAATTGCCACACATCTGTGAATTTTATCATGGTTAAATTCTCTGTGTGTTATTTGATCTAAAGAAGAAATTTAAATTTATAATAAAATGGGAAATACATATCCTGCCTACTTATCTCTGGGGCTTTTGACCAGAAGATGCCCTTAGTTACATTAATGAGAAAATATCTTTTAGCAGAGAGAAAAATTCACACCTGAGAGAAATAATAAAGGAGTCAAAGTAGCAAAATATCCATAATGTTTTATTAACATAGGCTTCAGAGAAATAATACAACAGGAAAATTGTAAATAGTTGCATCAGAATAAATAACATTCTCCAAAATATTCACAAAGGAAATTGGTATCCAAAAGAAAAGAAGACAAAACAGTAAGGCAGTATATGGAATAGCAGCACTGTAAAGAAATTGTCAGAAATTGTTTTCTGACCCCAGCATTGTCAGCCTTTATCTCAGTTCCAGAGAGGCAAAAGAACACACATTTTCAGAAGGACATGCAAGCAGAGAAATGGAGAAAAGTACAGAAGCCCATGTAAAAGAGTACAGGGATTAAATCTGTGAATCATCTCTCAGATTTGTTCTCAAACACGAAAATAAAGAAGCTGGAGCAGTTGCTAACAGGGTAGAACTTGCTTAGTTTCCAAGCATTTAGAAATTCATTGACTCTTCTTTGTATTCATTTTGGCATGTGTTTATTAGCTATATTAAATTCTTAGCTTAGGGTTTCATATACAGTGTTATCTTTGGCAGAAAATGAAAGATGTATGAACAATTTAAACACTGAACATTGATGTAAAATTGGATCGGCTCATTACAAACTGATTTCCTCTCATCAAACTACATGGGTGAAGGATGAAGAAACGAAATGCAAAAACATGGTCAAAGTGGTGACATACTAAATCGTCTTCCAATCATTCTCAATAACTCTACAACTACAGCATGCTATCCTGATGGCCCCATCTGAGTTGATGATTTTTCACAATGTATTTCATGGCTTCCATCCCTACATGAGACTTTATTACTATCACATAGGAATAAAAAGCCATAAAACACTAGAGTGAATTTATCTTGATCAGATGCAATACTTATTTTCTTCACATGATTTCACCACCATTCCAAAACTAACCAATGATTTCATGCTACATTACCAAACATTTTAAACTACATTTCAATGACAAGAAAGACACTGAAATGGTTACACTACAAATTAGAAGAACTTCAGCCTTTAAACACATTCCTACCTACGAGAATCAAGAAACAATCACAAGACACAACCATTTAATTCACTGGTAAAAGACAGGACACCACAGAAAAATATCACTTCCACATACATCTTTCAAGACATAAGGAAAGACAAGAGACACGAAAGAAACTGGCATTGATAAATGCTATGAAAGCACCACTACCAGCATCTTTTTAAAACTATTTTCCATAGTAGCTTCCTGGTATGCATTATAAAAATATCAGACTCCATCACTAAGTCATCTTTAAGACATCTGAGCTTAATTGCAGAAACAAAGCAAGATTCCATGCTTATGGCACTGAAACAGCCACTACCACAGAGCTATCTCATATGACCCATTCAACCCTAGGACTTTTACCTTCTTGGCTATGATAAATTTACTATAACTCCAAAGTCCATATTTCTCCAGATGAAAGACCAAATGAGACAAATTGTAAAATACCCTTATTTTCTAAGCCAGAGCTGAATACCAAGGTCCTGGTCTGAACACAGTTATTTATTAATGTAATTACTATTCATCTTCTTATTACTACTAATTGGCCAAGTAGAAACACAAGTCTCTAGGGTCATTGAAAAGTCAATACAATAATTTAACTGCCATTCAAAAATAATTTTGCTTGTACACTTGCAAGCAAACTAGGCTGCATCAGAAATGTTTCGTTAAGCTAAGAGTCTATGCTTTACCAAAAATACTTAAAATTTTCCCAGCCATGTAACCCCATTGACATGGGACCAATATTAATTCTGATCTAGTGTTGACGCTAGAACTAAAAATTAACTCAGATTTGATTTATATACTGTATCCTTTCTTGCCTACCAAATCCTATGTCTTGCATAATATAATGTTGATAGCATAGAAAAGAGCGAGAAATCATTAAATGAAAGGAAGTGCATAAATAAATTCAATTATCATGCATAAAACATGCAAATGACTTAAAGACTGCATATGAAACTCTGGTTTACATTAATTAATCTCAGGTTGCACTTTTGAGGGAGAAAGAGACACTAATAGGATCCAGATTAATGTACTCCCAAACCTTCCAATTTGTTTTTAGGTGAGGGTTAAAATAGACGTATAAAAATAAACATAGCTGCTCGCCTCCCCCAGCCCTGTTTCATTTGTGGAAGAAGGTGAAAACTAGAAAGTATATTGCAGGCTTAAGAATCTGGGCTTTTCCTATGCACCTCAAGACTAATGCTTACCCACTGTCACTCTTTTTTTTTGTTTGTTTTTTTTAAGGGAGGTAACTTCATGCTGGAAACTATTCCAAAAACCAACTTAGTGACTTGACATGGAGAACAGAACGGGAAGTGTTTGGGCTTGCCTAACCCTGCCCTCTTCTTCTTCCTTCCCTACTCTGAATGATGCTGCAGATGGACCATTTTAAACTGTGTGCAGTCACACTTCTAAAAGGGGCTCAGTCCAAGACTGGTACATTGTTTCCATGCAGCTCCATTAGGTGGGAAACAGGATTCACAAGCGGACTTAAGCAGTCCAGCAGAAACACAATACATAACAGGGGCAAATGTCTTTGACCTGCCACTGCTCTGGGTTTCACTGCCCAGGGATTCCCCCACAGTCTCTGCCAAATTATCCAGATATAAAAGTAGCAGGCCCGCAGCCTCCCTTTCCCTTTCCCATTGGAACTGGGTGATGCTCCCTGCCACTGCCCTTGCCTAGGGGGTACCCAGGAACAAGCCACCAAGGACAAGATCAGTACCCACAACAGCAAACAAAGGGGAAGCGGCATTCCTAAGGGTGATCCTACCCCAGGAGTAAGGTAAGCGCACGGAAGAAAAATGCCCAGAAACAAAAAAGAAGGGAAGGTCCCATTCCCATCCACTGGGAGAGGAAGGTTAAATAAACCAAACAAAAAGGTCACCAAACTAATTTCGTACTGAAACCAATGAATTTGGATGAGAGGCCCAAAGGGGAAAGGTTAGGATGTTATCAGTGACATAATTTCTCTTTCCTTTTGTTATAATGATTGGATATTAAACTCCTCCAACACAATGGGAAACACTTTCTGAAGGGTGGGGGCAGCATTCAAAAATCTGGTTATTTTTACGTGTTATCCTCCTGAACTACAGACATTAAACCATGAAAGCACGAAAACACATACATGTAGACTCAAACATATATTGACAAATATGGTTTCAGACACAGACTGACTTCTACTGACAGCCTCACTCAGAGAGCTTTTTATTAGAATTGATTTCTGTAGGTTTGCAGGTGCTAAATTCATTGCAATAAATAACAACAATAAGGCTGAAATCTGTCAACATCTTGACAAAAATTCAGAGAGCTATTTAGTTAGGAAATACGCTTATGATATTCATTGCTCCTAAAAGAGAAAATGATCATACAGTAACTAAACCCTAAGTAAGAGCTAAAGATATTCACCTCATGAAGTCATTTCTCAACTAGCCCCTTGGCACTTGCTGGAATTATTCGCAGCACGAGCTCTACTTTTTCATTTTCTGCTGACTCCATGTGGGTAGTTTCTCTCTTGTGATTAAAAGCAAGCTGCTCAATTCCTTCAAAGCATTTCCTTAGGTGTGGTTGGATGTGGAGTGATCCTTTGTCTCAAAAAGGATTCCTGAGAGATTATTGCTGCATTGAGAGGAAAAAATCCCTGAAAAATTATAAAAAATGAACTTTAGAGGTATTTATATAAACATATTTTACACCAACATCATACAGGCAAAATGGACTGTTTACCTTGGAAAGAATAGTCTTTTTTTCGCAAGATAATCATTCAAGGCCTTCCTGAATGTCATCCAAAAGTGATTCTGCTTCAACTTATCCAGCATCTGGGGCTGTGAGATAACCCTTGTGGCATCGGTCTCCTTCACTGACTCCTTCGTTATTAGCCTCCTGGTGGGTGAGATAGAATACAGTGAATGTAATAACCATACTTCACACAACAGGCTCACTCTCTCTTTTAAATTGAAAATCCCCTTATTACAAAACAAGGGGTGTTCTTTTTCTTCTACCTTTAAGTAGGACTGCCACATTCATTGCTTTTTACAAAAACGCAGCTGCTTTTTAAGCTACAGATAAATAGAATCTGCTAGGCGGTAATTCTGCTCAGTCTGAATGCATTATTTTCTAAGTCACTTTGGTGAGGGACTTTTTATTATGAACTGGAATGAACAAGGAAAGTCCTTTTTTCAACTAATTATGACTACACTTTGTTCTATACTATTAACTGACAGTGCCAGAATGGTCAGCTTTTTTTTTTTTCTTCAACCAGTTCAAAAAATTAGCAGGATTTCTGGGAAATTAGAGAGCTAATTATTAAGACTTTATAGACTAATGATGAAAATATAAATAACACAGAACAATGGTGTATCAATAACATTCACATAATCCCTTTGATACGTACAATGCAATCTACCATTTTAACCCCACTGATGCATGGGAGGGAGTTACTTTGACTCAATCTACAGAATTTTCTTCTCATGAAGATTTGTTAAACTAGATATTTTCAAAGAACTGAGGAAAAAGAGCAAAGCTGAAACACCATTTTTCATATACCTATATCTGGCACCCATTTTGTTTTCCTATTATTGGATTCCCAGTTTATGAAAACCAGGAATGACGGAATAGAAGGCAAAGTTATAAAGATATCAAAGAAAAAAATCAGGACTTCTGTTGTTTCCCATGTTTGATTTGAAAAATACTTGTGTTCTCTTTTTTTTTTTCCAGTTAGTTACTTTAAAGAACGGATTAATTTGCAAAGAAGAATTTGATATTCTAAGTATTACCAAAAACTAGAATATACTTCTGAGATGTCAAAGCCTTCAGTGATCCATAATGCTTAGCTCTGACAATGTAAAACATACTCGACTACTTTCCAAGTGGACAACAACACATTTAGTTCAGCTGTTGTCCACAGCTCATAACTACTGGTACACAAACACTCCACTAAATGGAAGGCAAGCATTTAGATATCGCTACATAGTTCCTTTTATGTAACATATACTGGGTTGAATGGAATTAAAATAAATAAGAAAAATCTTTTGTCCTTAAAATTCATTTTCAATACTTATTTCTACCATCAGTATGGTAGAAAGACCTGCCAGCAGAACTGCTTCTGCCCAGCTTATGAATTAGAAAGAATCCTGGAGATAAGAACTTGCTCAGTGGAAAAAAAACCCTCACATTGCCATCATCCTAATATCCTACTTGCATTCAAAATAATCCTATTCCTATGTATTTCTGAAATATTATAGGGGATATTTATGGCACATTTTTCAAGCACCTACTGTAAGAAGATATATACATACACCCAACGACAGCGTCACTGCTTTGACATGCTAAAACTTGCTACTTCCATGAGGTGTTTCTCAGTCCTCCAATACCCTTGGCAAACTATGAACACTTTTGGGTTGTTTGTCTCCATATCTAGAGACCAACCTTAATCCTGGAGAATCAGGAGAAGCCTAATCCATGTCGACTGAAGAACAGTTGTTTCTACTAAGAAATAACCCTACATGTATCTGTGGAGCATTCAAGACAGGAGAGTAAATGAACGCATCCACATGAACATTAATTTAACTTTATTTTAGTATCACGCTCAGTGTTCATGTACACTCAAGTATGGCCTTTCATATTATCTCTGAAACAAAGATCTCACATACTGCCAATTTAGGTATGTTACCTTTTGTACTAAAATAATAAAGGAATTTTGAAATGCTTATTACTGTTTGATTAAAAATTTATCTGAATCTGTCCATTTAGCAATATTTCTTTTCATAATATGATAGTAAGGACACTAAAGAAATAACTGTGAATGCAAGAAGGCTTACTGTTTTTCCTAAATTAATTTCAAAGATATCCTTAATAATTTTGTTGAGAATGCCATTCTTCCAGGCACACAACAGGCCTTCAGATTACTGAGCATCCCGCTATCAACATCACTAGTATCAATGGTGCACAATACCTTTTAATTAAAAATGAACTTTTTCATTTTAGCTGAATCACTTAAAGACAATGTAATAGCCAGATTCCACCCCGTGCTCATCCTCTGCTGAGCACTGACTGACAGTTTTTCACAGAAGTCGAGGTTATGGTGCAAAATTATTGAGTGACTTGACAAACATTACAGCCCTAGTAGAGGCCCATTTACATACAGGACAAGATCTATAATCTCCCAGTTTTGTACTTTATCTATCTGACCATGTTTCCCTACACTTCAGAAGGGAGAATCAAAACAAAAATTAATTCAGAAAAAAAAAATCAGCTTCACATCTTTACCAAACCATTTTGCAGATACTCCTTTCCCTTATAACTATATGTAGGTTGGCTGCATATGTCTTCCAGTGTATTTCTTCCATGATTAAAAGCAAGTGTTTTACAGGTGCTTTTAGATATGCATGCACTTTGAATATTCCACAGGTCATTCAGTAGCACATCAGATATAACTAAACACAGACTTAATATTTCAGGGAAGTGTCAGTAGCAAAGCCAAGTTTTTATGACTTTCAAAATAATCTGAGAAATATTTTGCTAAAAGTGTTCTTTACCTGGTACTTATGTAGTACAATGAGAAACGACATATAGAAATGCCTGTTTATCACTTGAATGATTCACTAACTTACTGGGAGGCTGTGTCTCTATTGTTTCTGAGCTCACGTCATAAAAACTAAGTAGAAATCAATTTAAGACAATGAAGTTTAAACTTTACTTTCCCCCTTGGTATTCTAAAGTGGCAGTCAAGTTGGGAAAAGTTTCAAATAATGAAAGTCACTGAAGCCTAAATCACACACAATAGTGAAAGCTGAGATGCGAGATGGAGATGAAATCTAAAAGCTAATTAAATTCAACAAGAGTCTCTCAAAGGCAACATACCAGCTTAGCCTCCCATGCTAACATTTCGTTTTGAAGGGTGCAGTAAATGGAGGGCCTTTTATGGCTGCAGATTTCACAATATGATCCACCAGCTAAACCTGAGAAAGGAGAGAAAAAAAATATTAGATGCATGGATTACTGTACTGAATAGGTGCCAAGGCCAAGATAAAAAGAAAAGATAAGTTAGGGCTTCTGAGGAGCTGAATTTGAAGCCAACCAGCAAAACGGATTGAACTTTATTACCTCTAGTCACTGAGAAATTCCCTAGACAGTTGGATGTAATTTGAAAAGGTCAGAAAAAAATTTCCTTCACAGTATTATTGCTTCATGGTTTAAGGGTGTACCTTTGTGAGATGCCAGCTCTAATCATTTTTATTGACTTGCTCTAGAGGGACAGACAGATGCACAGGGAGTCAAGACGGACAGATAAGACATATCCTACCTTTGTTTCCAGTTCTAAAACATATCACAATATTAAGTATGTTTTAATGTTAATCATTTCAGTTTATCCTTTGCCATCTCTGAGAAGAATGTGCCTTGTTTCTCTAAGACAGCCACAAAAGGGGGAGAGGGAGAGGAAGCCTGTGCATAATATTGGAAACTTGCTACAATTTTTCATATTTGATCAGAGCATTCATTGAATTCCACATGAATCTGAAATATATAACTGAAATTCAGTAAGGGTAATAGGATTTTCTAGACATTTTTAGATATGCTCTGTTGATTTTTTTTTCACCCAAAGGGGAACAGATCTCACTGAACAGGTTATAGGAATGACCTTCAGCATACTGACAGTACAAGCTTTACTATCAGTGTGGCTGTCTTGGGGGAGAGAAACCCAACATACAAAAGGAAAAACCAATTAAAAAACAAAAAAACCCACCCCCATTAAAAGCATTTAATTCTTCGACTTAGCATTCACAGATGCTTGCAATCAAATATGAATATTTGCTAACATTACACTAACAGTCAATTTTTTTGTCATGCAATTAAAATCAAAAGAGATTTAACAACACAAAAGCAGAATTATCTACCCCAAACTCTGGAAAAGTTTAATTAACATTAGATTTTCTTTTGCTCAGAAGACATTTGTTTTCTATTCATAATACAAGCATATGTATTCCCTGTATCCTGACTCTGAATGCACTGCAGAGGCAATTTTAATGGCCATTAAAGTACAGCTCTGTGAGCTTCTCTACTATGTTATGTTTATGGAGCCTGCCTGCAAGCTGACTAAACCTTTTCCACTTGGATAAGAAAGCCATTTCCATCTGGTTATGTTCCCTCCCCTCAAGCCCCACACATCAGAGAGTAACATGAAATTGCAGCAAAAGAGTTGCATATATATTCATTCCTCCAGAACTTTACAGCTCTGAAAGGAAATCAGAAAGGCTTAGCTGCAGTGAGGAACAAAAAGCACTGGGAATCGTTCCACCAATGGAAGCTGATACTTTCCATTGAAATGGACTGCTCCAGACAGAAAAGATGAATGGACAATTTAAACATAACACTTCTTCAACAATTTAAGAAGCTCTTGAAAGAAAACATGTGCAGCTGTACATATAGAAAGGAGGCTGGGGAGAGGTAATCACCTACTAGATTTACAACAATTGATTTAGACTCTACTACTCTTATTTTTTTTAATCAGACTCCCACTGTTAACTTCAGGATGATACTGAAACTGAAATAGGAATTTAGTTTTGTAAGATCACAGATGTGTACCTACAGAGGAACACTTCAGTTTCTGTGGTAACATGACAACATTATGATTTTTATTCTTGTTTTTTTCCAACAGGAGGAGTGACAGAGAAATTAAGTTCTGTCGTCCTCCTGATCTAAGCTCAAAGATGAACCCCCCCACTTATTCGTCATGAAAAAAGGGAATGTTTAAAACACAAATATTTAACGTCAGAGACTCAATTTTCAAAAAATATTCTTCCATCGATGTATTTCAATGCTATTTGCAACATAGTAACGTGATGCCACATTGTTCCATCTTTGCAAGACCCTCACTCCCTTCATTTCTGTTCTTTTTTTTACCTCATCTCCTCAAGAGCAGCACATTTTAACAGACAAGTAACTTAAGTCCTGATTCATCATCCCAGATGTAGAAAGTATAGATCTTTAAGATGTTCCATATGACATCCTTCTCACTCTATTTCAGCCAACAAACGTGGGAGAAGTTGATCCTGTCTAACCCCCACACAGAGATGACAACGCTCTCTCCCTTTTTGTAATACTCTTTATGATATTGTTTGCTTCCTATCTGATTATTTGCCATGCTGAAGGTAAAACTGCACAAAAGGTCAAATTATTGCTAACTTGCACTGTAACAATAAGGTTAGTTAACCAATGAAACAGATTGCTCAGAAAGGCAAGAAGTTTTCAGTTTCTTCTAATCAGGATTTAATTTTAAACAATATTCTCACAGTTCAACCACAAGTTGTTTGGTTAGGTGCAGAAATCCACTTCTGTTCTTTCCAACCTTTAAATCTACAGGGTTGTGACCCAAGTGGAATGACGGTGTAACAGGATTTAACCCCAGAAACCAGTAGGATTTCTTTATTTTTGTCTTTCTGGGTGTGACCAGGAGAATGCAACTTTTATATATAATAAATTTGAAAATAAAGACCTCGAAATTCTGTGTTGTAACAATGACAGAAATTGTAGCTGCCTTTGTCTTGTGAACACTAGATTACTGAAACCCATTCAGCATGTGACTTTAGCCAACTAAAAAAACATGAATCCACACTGTAATTTCTTTTTCTATTGGAAGTGCGTACCCTGGAGAGCTACAAGACAGGTATTCCATGTATGTGTTTCATTAGCTGACTTGAATGTATCATCCCCTTCATTTCTGATAAAAGCCCCTCCTCCCCACACATCTGACAGCAAAGTGAAATGCCATTTGTCTGTCCTGATCAACAAACAAAGTCCCCTTACGACTTGAGAGAGGGCAGGATTCTCATACTTGTTTTACCATGTCTAGATGTTGCCCATCTACTCTTCAATTTTGTTCTGATCAACAGACATGCCTAACTGTATCGCTCTTCCTAAGAGGAAAAAATCCCAATTAACCAAAAAACCCCCCAAAAACCAAAAACCACAAAAAGCTGACTACAGAGCATGTCCCAGACACAATCCGAGTTTTAAATGAGCTCCAGTGTCACTTCAGCCAGCAGCAGGCCATGTCGTTCTCATACATAGCTCACACAAAAGAATTAGAAAGCTGTTTTACAGATAAGGAGGAAAGGCTTGAGAGATGGATATGAGTATCATTACTAAGATAACTCCAATACGCAAAGTTAGGTGGCAGCTACCAGTTTTACTACTTCCAAGTACTACAACAGGTCTTCTCCTTTATGAATGGAAAAGGTTGGCGAGCTTGTTTGTTTGTTTGGGTTCTTTTGGTTTTGCTTTTTTTTTGTTCTTCATTCTTTGGAAAATGTCCAGATATGGACAGTATTAAAGGTCTTTTCCAAACTAAGTGATTCTAGGATTCTCTGTCAGTTAAACATTTAGTAACCATTTTCTTGGTCTTAAAACCACTCTGTAATGTGTGTAATTTGATTTTTTTGTTATGCAGAAGAATTAGAGCACTCTCAAAAAAGGCTGCAGTACACCTATTAGATGTGATGTTTATGTCATGAATACTCACTCATTCTTAAAATAAATTGGACCTTCTTGAAGACAAAAAGAAAATAAAAGGGACTTGTGGATTTATGATGCATAATAGTCCATCTTGCCAAATTCTTTCATCTGAACACTGTTTCAGTTCCCAGCTCTAATGTCGTTAAACTTAACTTCCAACAAATTAGGTTTGGGAACAATGCAATGCAATTAAAATACTGTATGCACTGCAGCAGAATGAGATAACACTTTATGTATGTTTAGTGGGAAGAAAGAAAGAGAAAATCATTCCTTGTTATTAAAGTCTTAATTAAAGGATCTCAAAAAATATACATAGGTACAGAAAAAATTTATAACCAATTTTTTTCTCTCACCATTTCAATAAGAAAGTCAATGTTGGTTGATCACAGGGAGAATGCAAACCTGAACATTTGCATAATCAACAGTTGCTATCATTTGAATTCTTCTGTCTTTCTAAGATGAAAAGTGAATACATCTTTCCAGTCAGCGCTTGTTTTAAAAGAATTCTCTGAAATGCAGTCCTTAATGATTTGGGCATTATACTTCGACCTTTAAGCCTTTTACTTATTTTTCAAGAGTAAAATTTTAATCAAAAGTCAAAAAGCATCTCTAATCAGTGTATTATTGAATCCTCTCCAGTTGTAGTCAGTATAAATAATTATTTAACAAAACTGAATCTTGATTTTTGTACATTTGTTTTTTGTTATTAGAACTGATTGTGGGACCTAGAACATATGGGAGAGTAAACTGCTTGGCTGTCCTACAAAAATAAAGAAGATGCAGCCAAGGTTCTCCACATGCTGTTTGTCATCAAGTGGAGTTGATATAATGCAATACAGACACCATAGGTTTCTTTTTGAAATTTTATATTCCTAAAAGATTAGTGTCTTTTTTTAGGCCTCAGACTTCACTCAGAGTGAAGTTCACTCTCTGTAGATTCTACTCCAAAAATTTAACTCTAAAATCATTTAAAAGTAATAGTTCTGGTAAGAAAAATTTTTAAGGTCAGGTTTTCTTTAACATCTACCATTAATTTAGGGGGTTGATAATTTATTTAACACAGTTTTGGAGGACTGCTTTTGGCTTTCTGCGCTGACAGAGCACTGACCCCTCTCCAGCCATATGAAAGCTAGACAGCAGTAATATGCACTTTCTTTTTGCTGAATTCCCTTTCTTGTCAAGTGAAACCAACCTTTCCATTACATCATATATATATAAATAGATATATATATACACACACATACAGAAACGTATACATGCATACCTGCCCAAGAGTCTTTCATCGAGTTAAAAACTATGGTGTTTTGATTATTTTGTAGCTGTCCATGACAGCCTTGCAACATTTCAATATTTGTTCACTTACAGTATATTTGGCTTTGACAAACAAGCACAACAGTTAAAATGGTACTGTTCATATTTATGTCTCCCCTCTATGTCATGCTATTTA